AGTGATGTTAATAATGAAAAATGCATTATTGAAATTTTCTTATATTGGTATTAGGCCGACCGTGGAAATGGTTCGAGACGGTGAGGCGAAAGAATGGAGAAAAGTCGAGTACACCGATTGAGTGTATCTTATTATTAATTGTGCAATACTTTAACATCCAGCATAGATGAGCATTGGCCTAATTTTGATTTATTGAATCCAAGTTTATACTTGTCATATTGACAAAAAAAACACCCTAAAAGAGATAATTAGCATCAAATTTCTGAAAATTACGATTTAGCTTAAACATAAACATAATTATTTTTACATTAGATTTTTAGCATAGAATTTTATCACGATGATATATCAATTATTTTTTTGAATAAAAGCTTATCGTTATGCATTAATAGACCACGTGCAATTTTCTAATATCGATATAACAAACTCATCATCTTTCAATTTTTACGTCAAAATACATCATGTCTGACCACGCTGAAAACGAACAGTATGTAAGACTATCCTTTGTTGAAACACTTGTTTGTCAATACCTGAAAGGACGTTACTATCATTAACAGGACAATCGATAATCCAGAAACTGAGTCCCAAAGGGATGTACCTGGAAAAGAAAAGGCTCACAGTGTTGAAACTGCCAATACTGAGAATTTATCCGATGATGAGTTATTTGAAGAACTGGAGAACGATGATTTAGCAGTTTCAAACTTTCGAGAAAAAAGACTAGAACAGATAAAAAAAGAGTATGTGGGTGTGATTAGTTTCAATAGGTTCAAATGATTTCATATGAAATACTTGAGATATCGATTTTTTTGGCAAAAGAATGCAGCAACTTCAAGAAATGCGAGCAAATGATCATGGTACCTTGACAGAAGTTACGGAAGAAAAAGAGGTGCTAAAAATTACGACATCAACGAAAAATTGCGTTGTACATTTTTTTCATAAAGAGTTCCGAAGATGTCAGATAATGGATAAACATTTAAAGGTAACAACTAAAGACGCCAAGTATAGATATATAAAATAATACTAAACATGTGAAATGATATTCAGACGTTAGCACAAAAACATTTCAAAACTAGATTTTTGAAAATAGATGTTGAAAATGCGCCGTTTCTAGTGGAGAAACTGAATGTTCAGGTTCTTCCATGCGTTATTTGTTTTATTGATGGGGTTTCCGTTGACCGGTAATTAATATATTATTGCATTATCACTTTAAGCATTACAATCAATTTATTTTTCCTTAATTGTTACTTATTTTTGCTTGATAATTCAAGAATTATTGGCTTTGAAGAATTAGGTAATACAGATTCTTTTAACACGGGGATTCTAGAACTTCGGTTATCTACTAGTGGTAGTTATCAATAGTTTTTTTGGGGGAAAATTAGTGTCAGAATTACAAGTTTATATGAAAATAATCTATGGAACTACATTTTTAGGTGTCATAACAAAATCTAAAGAGCCGGAACAAGATACACAAAGAAAAACAATTTTTGGATTTTCGAATACTCAGTATGACGATGATGATTGGGATTAGTGTTTTCTAGATTGTGAAAATAAAATAATTGTGTCTGTTTGGAAGAGCGAGATAATTCTTCGGGTTGCTCATTTAATTTTAATTTTAGTATAGACAAAAAGGGTAATTTTTCAAAGAGCAAGATAAACCAAGTCATATATAGATATAGAATAATTAATTTACTATTATACTTTTCAATACTATTTTTAACACAATTCATGAATTTTTTCGAATAATTTAATCATTAAGGACATTTAAATAATATAATTCAAATTCATTCAAAAATAAAGAAATCTTTTATAATGTTCGCCAAAGATTGTACAACTTCAAAAGAATAATTCTATATATTAAAACATATATCCTTAAGAAAAAATAAATAAAATGACAGAATTGAGCTAAATATAGTTTGTCTCTATGAATTATCTATCGTCCTTTCTTTCCTTTTTTCTTTTTTGTAGTTGTCTGATGTGCGGGATTTGACCCTGGTAGTAATGATGTCGCAGTTGTCATTACAGAGGTGATGGATGGTGTAGTAGTTACCGACGTTGTTTGGACATTAGATGTCGTAGCCACCGGGGTAGACGATGATGGTTGTGATAAAGTTCCAGGAACTTTATCGAAGTTGCATTAGAAATACGAAATCAGGTTCAATTATTTTTTAAATAGACATATTCTCAAAAAAATAATATACAATTTAACTATTCAAATACCAGAACTATTACTATCCTCCACACCAGTTGTATTAGTCTCCTGTCGATTTTGCATTTTCAGCAACAAGGATTTATTCAACCGTTCGAATTTTTTAAGATCGGATGATTGATCCGTCTTATATTTTAGACAAGTACGATCATCCGTAACTTTCAACACCAATTGTCCTTGAGTGTGTCGCCAACTTATTACGTATCGTGCCTTTGATAATATCATTATATGAGAATGTCGTATTATGTACTTTCGGCAAATAATTTTTTTAAACGATAGAAGTTTATGCTTTTTCTTACTGTTTTAGGAGAACTTTGATAGAGTTCTTCCGCCGCTCGTTGATATTCATTCCAATCATTTATGTATACCATATTTTGTGAATAATGAGAGTTGGAAATAATTTTTTTATACATGATTCAAAACGTGCACATTCTGCACTTTTTTTAAAAAATCGTGATTTGCTAACTCTGAGTTATTGTATTACGGGAAAATCTTGTTAAAAGTGACGGGGGAAGATATTACATAACGATAATACATAGGAGGATGATAATTGTTAATTTCCTTTTGATAAATAATCTCTTTTCCATCATGAATAGATCAATAATAATAATATTCTTGTGAATGCATACTTCAAGTAAATTAATAATATCTTCATTCTGATCAGAATCGTAATTACATATTAAAAATACAATTAAATTACTTGAACATGTTATTATCTAGTGACTTATTTTGAAATTCAAAGAATATATAGTATTCAAATATATCTAGCAGCCTAAAATCTTATGATTGATTACTAAATCAAGATACATTTACTTTGTCTTTTTGATAGCTAAATGCTTTTCTTTATTTAATAATCTGTGATTCTCTTTAATTATCTAGATATTTATTAAAGATTAGTATGTATGGATCGGTGCAAAAAGATTTGTACCTTAATATAAAAATTAATAATTGCTTCTAATAAAAATCATTCAAATTTTAACCAATCTTTATAATTTTTTTATATTAAGT